GCCAGGGCTGGGTTCAAACCCATGCCCTCAGTATACGGAGCCAGTGCCCTGCCTACTGAGCCACAGGTGCTGCCCACACCTGGATATTTTTTTTGTTGTAGTTGTCATTTTGTTTCTTAGTTGGCCCAGGCCAGGTTCGAACCTGCCAGCCTCAGTGTATGTGGCCAGCGCTCTACCCACTGAGGTACAGGTGCTGCCCCTCGGCCTCTTAAGTAGCTAGGATTGCAAGCACCTGCCACACCTAGCCTCCTCTTTTGTTTTAGAAACAAATAGTTTTACCACATATATACATGTCTCTAAATAATATAATTTGGTTTTGCTTGATTTTGAGTTTTGTGTAAAGGGTATTATACTATATTTTTTTCTGTGATTTCCTATAATGCTTCATGCCTATACAGTGTTATTCTATAAATACAACAGAATGTATTTGGTTACATTACATTCATTACATTCATCATATCCCTGTCATCCATTATTTTATGTTTGATTGGTGATAGACATTGGATTTTGTCCAGTGTGGGGCTATCACACACAGTACTGTCTGAGATGTTTATCTATACAATAGATTGTAGAGTTGCTCATGCTCAATCTTTGGATATTTGCCAGGGTTTATTTGACAAAGTAGCTATGCCAATTTATATTTTTGCCAGCAATGTGTAAGTTCACACTGGTCCATGTTCTCACCAGCACTTATTAGAATTATCACATTTTAAAATTGTTGCTAATCTGCTGGGTGTAGTGCTGGTTTGTTGTGGTTTAATTTGCATCTCCTTGATTAATAATGAGGTTGAGTCTCATCTCATTTATTGGTTATTGAGTTTGCACCTTTGTGAATTTCTTTTTGCCCATTTTTCTAGAGTCTTTCTTTTTTCATTTGTAATAGTATATTCTGTAGTTCAATTTTGTTTGTTGCAAATACAAGTATATATTGTAAATATGCTCTCCATTCCTCAATGTGATGTGTCTTTTTACTCCTGGAATCATGTCTTCAGGTTATCAATTCTTAATTTTTCTTTTTTTTGAGACAAAGTCTCACTTTGTCACCCATGATAGAGTGTTGTGGCATCACAGCTCATAGCAACCTCAAACTCCTGGGCTTAAGCA